GATTTTTTCCTTTTTTTTTTTTTTTTTTTTGTCTAAATAAAAAGAGAATATTATACCTATATAACGATTTTTTTGAAAAAAAAAAAAAACAAAATATACATATATTATTAATAAGTATGTTATATACTTAACTATAATAGTGACCTCTTTTTTTTCTTTTTTTTTTTTTTTTTTTGTACATATACAATATGAATATACTTATGATTTTAAGTTTTACTATATATACACGTGTTATTTACGAAAAAAGAATAAGCGAAAAACACGCGTTTTAAATAATATATATATATATAATATGTTTTCGAGATATAATAATTTTTGAGACTGAGGGAAGTGTCAAGCCATTTTTATTATTTTTTATTATTTTACGCGACGCCTCGCGCGCGGTTCGGTTTTATTTTTCTTTGTTTGTGTTTTTTTTTTTTTTGTTTTTTGTTTTGTTTTTTTTTTTTTTTGTTTTTTTGTTTTCCTCGATAATTTCCGGGCGCGGCGCCTGTGTATTAAAAGAAATAGACGAAAAAAAAAATAAAAAAACCAAACGTTATACGAGACCGACATCAACGCGATCTCGCCGTGTAATAATGTTATTATTTGTGTTTTTATTATTTGCGATACTATAATATAAAAAAAAAAAAAAAAAAACCGAGTTGGCCAGTACAAACGATAATAATAATAATAATAATAATATTTCCGGACCCATCAATTTTTCTGTAAAATTTTCGTTTCGTCGTTGTCCGCTTAGCGTTAGAAAAGCAAAAGAATTTTAGCGGCAATACGATAAAAGTCCGAGGAGAAACGTGCGCGGTGTTGTTTGCCTGTACCTATTTTTTTTTGTTTCTTAACGCGTCCGGGAACTGTGCGTGGGCAATTAATAACGATGGTTTTTGTTTCTTCTCGAATCTTTTATCGCCGTACGCCGACGCGTAAACCTCCCCTCGAACGGACCGCGAAAAAAACAAAAACAAAAAAAAAAACTAAAAAACTGAATAAAAAAAAAAAATCATCGGTATAAGTTTCCTGCATACCGCGGCGAGTCGAGGTCGATTGTATTTATAAATATGTATTATTTTATTTGTGTGTGTGCGCGCGCGCCCGTTTCGCAGTGTGTGTGTGTGTGTGTGTGTGTGTGTGTTTGTTTTGTCGCGGGCCCGTTGTAATAATATGTACGTAATAGAATATCGTTTTTTGTCGTGGTCGTTGTCGACGGGGCGAAACGATCGGTTCGTCGGTGGTAAAACGCGAAAGAGGCGAGAAGAATATCCCGAGACGTTTCGGCCGCCGCCGACCGAAAACGTTACGATAATTACGATGTTATTATTTTTTTTATTGTTGTATTACGAGCGCCGCGCGAAACGCGCGCGGCGGAACCGGGTCGCTCTTGTGTTTCTATATTATATAATATTATGAAAAAAAAAAAAAAAATAATAATAATAATAATATATTGATAAGTGTAATTTGTGAATGTGTAATTGATAAAAACGATGATAAAAACATATTTGAAAAATGAAAAAAAAAAAAATAATAATAATAATAATAATAATAAATATATATATTTAAAAATTAGGACGAGTAGATATATTATTATAATAATATATAATATGTGTATGTAAAATTAAAAAAAAAAATGAAAATAAATACTTTACATTAGACGGTAATAATTGTTTTTTACTTTTTTTTTTCTCTATCTCTCTCTTTCTCTCTTTCTCTTTCTCTTTCTCTCTCTCTCTCTTTAACTCTATATGATATTTTACAATGTGTGTGTGTGTGTGTGTGTGTGTGTGTGTGCGTGCGTGTGTTTGCTGATCGTATATTATAATCTTTACTACGGTTTTTCTTTTCGTTCTTCTTCGCGTGCAACCCTTTTCCGCGTCCGAACGATAAAACCATTAAAATATGATGTACAATCAAATAAAAAACAAAAAAAAACAAAAAATCAATACCTGTAATACGATTTTTGTATGTTATTAAAAAAAAAAAAAAAAAAAAATTAGCGTTCCAAAAAAGGAACTTATATATTATTACCCATATACATTATATTATATTCTTATGTTTTAAACATGTACCAATGTTTTTATTTTTTTTTCTTTAAGTTTAAACTTTTTTTGTGCTTATCAATTCTATTTGTTATTAGCATTGTGTAATACGTTTTTTTTTTTTTGTTTTTTTTTTTGACATTTTACGCTTGGGATTATTTTAATAATTGTATTTATTTTTTTTTTTATCCTTTTTTCCAAGGTCTTCGCGCATACACACATATATATCTATATGTAAATGTATTTGTGTGTGTGTATATGTATATATATATATATATATGCATATATATTGTACTCGTATATATATATATATCAGAAAACAACTAAAAAAAAAAAAAAAAAAAAAAAAAAAAAAACACCACCCTAACCGTTCGTCGTTCCATCACACCGTCCTAATTCCGCCGGCGCCCGGTCTCTTCGCGGCATAAACAAAAAAAAAACAAGAAAACCAAATAGAACCGTAAAAAAAAAAAAAGAAAAAAAAAGTGAAACAAAATTCCTAATAACGTATCACACACACACACACACACAATAATGTACGCGTACCGCGCGTGCGTGTGTACCGCGCGTACGCGGGGTTCGTTAAAAACCGTACGTACCGGCGGCGCCGGCGGGGTACGCGCGCGCGTCGTCGTTCGGGGCGTGACCCGCGTCCCGAGGAGTCTTCTACGAGCCCGAGAGAAACACGCGCGCGCCGTATAAATGTGTGTGTGCGCGTGTGCGCGCGCGTATATAACAGGATGTCGTCACGCGCACGCACGGGCCGCGATCCTTCGAGCAGGATGCGATGTTTTTCAATGCCGCAGCGCAGCCGCCGCCGCCGCCGCCGCCGCCGTCTGTTGACCTACTTGTTCGGCGCACCATAAAAACTAGCTCACTTTCCCGCGGCGGCCGCCGCCGTAGCCGCGCGCCGCGGCGATGACATTGGTCCGGCGCGTGCGCGCCCGCGGAGAGACGCGACGCGCGGACGGCGCGGACGACGCGATATTGTTATTGTGTTAATTTTATCATTATTCCGTCGTCGGCCGCAAACCGTTTTCGATCGTTATCCGGGGGTAGGCGTGTCGCGCCGCGTACGTACCCATACGACAGCGACGCGCGACGACGGGGCCCCCGGTCTCGAGCGTCGTACGCCGAGTTGCCGGGCCGGCGGGACGTTATTGGTAATAATTGTGTTATCGTCGTCGTCGTCGTCGTCGTTGTTTCGGCTGCAGGTGAAAACGAGAGTTAAACGACCTGTCCGGCGGCGGCGGCGGCGGCGGCGGTTGCCGCACAGCCGCGTAGATATACCGGGGCGCGCGTGGTCCCGGGGCCGTTGGCCTTGCGACCGCGACGCCGCCGCGGACAAACTTTTCCGAAACTCTTCCGTTACCGTCGATAATAACGTCGCGCGTTTAAACACGATCGACGGGCGCTCGTGAAACGACGGGGAAACGGCACGCGGTCGCCGCTAGACCGCCGAATATCGGGGCCGCTAAAATTACGGGCGTATCGGATGCCCGCGGTTTTTTCGGGGGGTTTTTTTTGTTCTCTCGCCGGTTCGGCCTTTGGGATATTTTAATACAATGCATTTTGTCACGGGCATTAGAAGTGCTGGTCACAATGCCACTCTCCGTGCCCCCCGCAATCCCCTGTACGCGAATCTTGCAATACATAACAACGCATTTCGTTTAAAAATTCTCTATACACAATTTATAATATTATAAGTATTTATTTTCATACACGCGTGTGCTGTCTGGAGTATTTCGTTTTGTACATCAACTGTTATGAAATACACGGATAAAATATTTTGTCGATACTATGAAAAAACTTACTGGGTTTTTTCGGAGGGGGGAGGTGGTGCTAATTTTGAATTCAGGTTGCTAACAGTGGCGGACTTACACACCCCCCCCCAACCCCCTACACACTGATATGATTTCAATAAAATGTCGTTCGAAAAGGACATCTATTAATGGAGATACCTTTTAAATACGTATGATATTTCAGGACCCCTTCCAGAGAAATGTTGAAAATTCGCTGCTGGTTGCTAAACACCATCTAGCACCCCCACAGTCGCGCCCGTGATGCGCGTCATAACCGTCGGTTTACAACTCGGTATATAAGTACTCCGTAAAGTAGACGTATTTACGGAGATTACGGTTTATTCAATGTCGTATGATGTTGTGTATTTTAGGTACTGGAAGTAGTGTTGGGCGCAAAGGCTCACGTGGCTTTCTGTGGTAAACAGGTTTCTTTTGAACCCTGAAATAAAGGTCTTGGTACTTTCCGAGAAAAAACCAAAAATAAAGTGTAAAGTGTATATTTTTAATTAAATACCACTGGTTAAAAACGAAGTGCGAAAATCTCGTTTTTTGTCTACAAAATCAAACACGCGTCATAATATGGTAAAACACTTAACTCTTTACCCTGAAACGAGAGGGACAAAAAGTAAAATGTTTTAAGGAGCGAAAATATAAAATATTCACTACAAACAAACTCCATAACTCTTATAGCATTAAGGAATAATATGAAGTCATCGGTTGGCGAGTAATATCGTAAAAAGCGGACCACCGGTGTAATGGTTTTTACGTCGGAATTATCGACGTTTGTCGCCCGTCGTTATATGTTCGATTAGACGCCAATTTCGTTGCGGTACGTTGTAAAATAATGAAATATAATGTTTCTAGATGAAAAAATGTCTCTCGGGTCGCGACTGACCTACGGCTCCGAAAGGTTTACCGGGCCCGGATTCGATCGGAAATAAAACGCCGACTCGTCTACAGCCGCGACAAATGATTAATTGCCATCCCCCCCCCCCCTCGAAATACGTCCTGTACCGGCCTGTCGGCGTTGCCGTCGCGATATGGAATACGTTTTCGTTTTAGGCCACATTTGGATACCTATATTTCGATTACTGCATTTCTAACGATAAACGAAGTCGTGCGCGACACACGAAGTAGCGCCCCGTCGCGATAACGTCACGACGACAACCATAACACGATAGTGTCTGATGGGCGGCGCGTCTCGGTCGGGACGGGTATTCTTCGCGTTTCGCTTACGCACAACGTTGTCAGACGAGACGATACGGTGGCGCACGTTGAAAACGAGCGGGAAACACTATCACGACCGACAGTCGATATTTGCGCGCGTGCTGGTCTCGCGCCACGTGATTGGCCCCGCGGCGCGGACGTAGCTTTTTTTTCAACGCACAACTTTTCCCGTTATCGCCGACGATAACGGCGAGCAGTTGTTCGTAGCGCCGATAACGCGTCGGTACTCTGATATTGCCGCGCGTGTGCGCGTCCGCCGATAAGATACCTAATATACCGGATGTCTCCTTCGACGTCGCGGCGGCCCGGTCTGCCGTTCGTGCACACGCCGTCGCGAGAAAACCGAACGTTTCACTCGCAATAATAATAACATTACAATAACTCGCACTGAAATGCGAATAAAAAAAAAATTACTTATCGAGGTCGAAACGCACGCAAACGACGTTGCTCATATCGTTTGTTTGTCGCGCGTAACATGCCCGTGTTATATTGTATGCACTCGTGGCGTGTGTTCGTGTTTTATTTTGTAATAATTTTACACTGTTGTAATGATGTTTGCGCACCCGAACCAATGAGTACAATGCACAATAAAGTATACGACGACGACGCGGAGAGACCGCAAACGCGTTGCATCGATTCGTTTTTCTCGGAATTGCCCGGTGAATTGGAAGGATAGGATTAATGTTACAACAACTGCGACAGTGACACGAACCTTGGAATTATTTTTGGTCGCGAGAACACGTGTGTGTGTGTGTGTGTGTGTGTGTGTGTCAGGGGTGGCCAACCGATCTGCCCGAAGAATGCGCGCGAATAATAAAAACAGAAAACTAGAAAATGTCAAATGCCTCTTCATACATAACTCAAAAATCAACAGAATTACAACAAAAAAAAAAAACCGGACATACTTCGTACTATGGGTGGGCCACTTTTGTAGACGAGAAGATAGTGAGGTAGGATATAGAGGGGAATTTAATGTATATGCTGTACGCGGCGATTAATTTTTGCTGACGAAAACGTTCTGAGCGGAGTTCGGTTATACGAGTACATGTTTTAAAAAGCCGTAATATTTACGATTCCCCTGTAAAATCAAAAAATGACCTACCTGAAGTACTACCCCAGTCAGATATCCTTTCAAAAAAGTGCTATACTTGAAAATCGAAACTAAACTGCTGGTAGAAAAGTTGTCCACAGAAAAAAAAAACGTCATTGTAAAACCAATACATTCCTCGATCCGCTCAAAATCTAAAACAAAATCGAATATAATGAAATCATTAATACCGTATACTTTTGCGTTTTTCACCGGTTATTCCGAAAGTTACACGGAAAGTCTGAAATAATTCACCAACTAGATCTAGAATTTAACAAAAAATGTTTCTTGGAATTTTTTCATTGGAAAAAGATTTCTGATAGAAAAGTTGTTTACTGAAATAAAAAAAAATAAATATGTACACAACATAGAAAACTAAAAAAAAAATCTCCGGTGTAAATATGATAAATTGTCGTGTAAAATGTTTTAGTAAATAAATAATAATTCGTTATTTTGATGAGTTTTGTCGGTACGTTTATACAAACGGGGGTAGAACATGTAGGGGTTCCGCCCCTTAAAACTCAGCATAATCTCATCAAATCGAAATATTAGCAAATAAATAGTAAATACTATGTAAACATAGTGAATATTAATAACTATTATGGGAATAAACGTTAACTCTCCCTCCAAAATATTTAGGTTTTTTTTGTTTATAAGCGATCTACACTGCGTGATGATATTAACTAATGATCTACCGACGAATTCGTAGTCGCTAATGTGACCCAATATATTATAGTAAAATATTGCAAATAAATTATAAACACACGTTGAATACCTTCCAACAAAAGGTTTTTGATAAATTGATTGTGTATTCTATTTTTTTTTTATGTTAATGGGTGACACGAACGATTGTTGGAATATTGGTACGGTCCATAGAATTTCTAACAAAAGAAATTAAAAACGCGTAATAATGGTCTTCTTCAAAATTTAATTTTCAGGGGTCCTAAAATTCGTCAACTAATTAAATTAAAATATGTTTAAAACAGATAAATACAAAATAATAATAACAATCGAAATTAACACAAAATATAAATACGTAAAACTGTTACGCGTATACAATAAATATGTATAGTTTATGAACACCGCTAAAATTGCTAATTTATTTTAAAAATCGGAATTTTGTATTTTATTTATTTTAGCGGATCTCGCAGTCTTAGTTACATTCAAATACGTGTATATTTATAATTATCTAATTTGCATTATTATGAGTGTATTTTATTTGTATATACTTTGGGAAACCTTTATTGTTGAGGATCGTACCGATATTCCGCGTTTATTATATTATAATGACCCGTACCAATTTTCTGTTTACCGATATTAACTACATATGCCACCATTATTCCTGGCACTGCTTTTCTAGGAGTGGAGAGCACCGTTCGTCTTAATTTTATATCGCCGTGTCATAAATCCTCACAGCGATTCGGTCATTTGTGCGTGGTCGTGAGTTCTTGGGTCCGCAAAGTTCTCGGTGTGGTTTACTGTCCGGAAGATAAATCCGCGATTGTTAAGAGAACTGTACACAGGTACGTTCGTCACGGCAGATCACTGGACGTTAATGGCCACTACCTATTTACACGTCTATTTGAATAATATTAGTCGAAATTATTGTCCCTTGATTCGTTTATGAACAAAATAAATTATTTATACTGCCGGGCATGTCGGTCATAGAATCCTAAAGTATCGATGTTTCGTCGGTTGATCACTTATGGCCTGTAGATCGCATCAATATAGACCGATACCGAATTCGAACTTCGAATTATTATAAACGAATAGTAGCGACGTGACATTTGGCTATTGAGCGGAGATCGGTAAACTGTAAACCGTAAAGCTATAGTCGTGTTTCCCCCCCCCCGGAAATCAACAAAAATAAAACCAGTTAGTGTATTGAATTGTATCGACAGTTTTTAATTTTGTGTTTCAGAAAAACTGTTGGAAAAGGTGAAAAAAGACGGATATACTTCACACGTGGGTGTAGGCGAGTTCAGTTGATAGTGTTAGTTTGTCAACAACAAATATCTCATAGTATGAGAAAATGATTACAACAATATGCGTTTCCATGACAACAATCATTGTTTAAAAAAAGATTTAAAACAATAAAAACTTATTAATAACGAAAAATAAATAAAACGGTTACCAATAACAACCTTATTTTTAGTATTTAAATATTTTTTAACCCAAAGAACCGAGTTTTCCTCATCATCTCAAATATCAATGCGAATTTCAAAAAAATGACATCTCTACATGTTTACATAAAAAAAAAAATAATAATAATAATTATAAACATCATTGTGAAACCAATACATTCCTCGTTCCACTCGGAATCCAAAATTCACTTATTTTGAAGTCGGTACGAAGTGGAAAAAATCGAAACATTATTACGCTAACCGCAAAATCGTTTACCGAGAAAACACATTGTCTGTACAATGTGTTTTTTAAATTGATTCTCCGACCAATAAAATATTTCCACATTTCTCCGTACGTTCGAAATCCAAAAGAAAAAAACAATATTTGTCCCGACGGCACGGGTTTTCCGTTACACATGGTCGTTATGCGTCGTGTTGCAGCACCGTACCGTTTCACGGATTTCGGCCAACTCCCGCGCGGAACATTATCGTTGGTTTGTCCGTTTTCGGTAGTTAGCGCACACTACCCGGTTCATTTTGTTGAAACGAACCACGACGTGTGCAGCGGAAACACGAGCCACGGTAATGTTGCGCCGGGTGTGTACAACGTGTATCGACCACCCCTCGTTAAAAAATACTCGTTTCGCGGTATTTCGCCATTGTGTGACCGACGTGTGTGCGGACGCGTTCCGTATGTTTTACGCGAATTCGGGGAATAGTAATGTTTACCGACAACGGACGAATCCGGGTTTACATACTCGCCCGAGGGCAATGGGCGTCGATATTGAACATCAGAATAATATAATTTTAGAAAAATGGTATTTTATAATGTTGTTGTCGGACTTGACGTTCGGGGTGGCGGCTACACTACAGCGGAGTACGGGTCGAAATCCGCCGGTCAGCGGGATCCGTAACCGGGGCCGCGCGCTTAAAACCGTTCGAAAATCTGACGAACAACGCATAAATAACGAATAAGAATAATTTAACAATTTAAAACAAGCGAACAAAGTATCAACATTCAACATTTTTTTTTTTTTGAAAATAAGCGACGCGTAAATAACAAAAGCAAATACGAGATGGATATAATATTGCTAATAATAAATATAACCGCTAATATTAAATAATAACGAGATTATTTTCGATTTTAGATCAAAACCTACACAAAATATAAAATACGAAAAAAAAAAAAACATCAAAACTTATAGAATAAATTATTTTTTGGCAAAAACTTTTTTAGTTGGTAAAAATGTTTCCCGATTTTTCCGTATTTTAAAAGATGTTGATTTAT